GGGGCCCCCTCTTTGGCCCCCCCCCCGCTGGAACAACCCCGCCACCCACCGGGGGAGCCACTAGCCGTCTTTTACCTGTATCCACATCCACACCTGCAGAAGCAAGCCATCTCACAAGGGCTAGCTACAGGGGAGGGGGGTGAGGCGACCGGGGGGGGGGGGTCTTGCAGGGAAGAGGCAGCGCGAGGGTGGGGACTGGAGGTAAGGGGCAGCACAGGGGCGGGGTCTTGAGGAGAAGAAGCGGTGCAGAGGGGGAGGACTGGTGGGAAGGGGCATCGCATCACATGCTGCTCCTGGGGGCTTACGAGCCCTGGCACATGGAAGCAGCAGTGTGTGTTGCATCACAGTGGGGTGGAGAGGTGGGGTGCCAGGGCCCTGCCTGCTCCAATTCCCATGGCCGGGGGTGGGCCCTGCTGCCCAGTTGCCAGCAGCCCAGGCCCGGGACTGGGAGTGCAACCAGTGCTGCTGGGCCGGGCAAGGGTGGGGATGCTGGTGCTGCCCGAAGGGCCCAAGCTGCTCAACAGGAAGCGGAGCGGCGAGTGGGTGAGTAGAGTCCTGCGCAGTTGTATCTGCATCCGATCCACTATCCGCAAAAATGGTCCCTGGATATCCACATCCATGATGAAGCGGATACCTGCGGATTTGCAGGGCTGTACTCATCATGGCCCTATGCACAGTGGTGAATTTCATACAATATGCATAAACGAAAGCTAAAATCCCAGCTCCAGGTCACAAAAGCAGTTTAATTTGAGTGTTATAGAAATAAGAAAGAGGGCTTGATTCTATTTTTAGTATCACCTTATTCTGATTTTGTAGGGCCCTCGTCGGCCTGACGCTTGAACATGAAGGGTGTCTCCTACAAGTTGCTGAGTGGCCTCAACACCCTTTGACCACAGTGGGAGTTGGGGGCACTCAATGGCATGCAAAAATCAATAGAGTGGTGAGCGGCCTCACAGAAATGGATATTTCAGATCTGAGAAAGGGAACCATAACTTTGACAGATTCCCTCCCGTCATCCTTTTAGGCCACGGAAGTCCTAAGGAGAATGCTGGCATAGTGGCAGCAGGGCTACCGGCCTGCCATGGCAACTCCAAGAGAAAATCCACATCAAGGAACTGCAAAGCATTTCAGATCATTCCCTTCGTAATCCCATTTTTCTCAGGAGCAGAACCCTTCCCCCACTTCTGATATATGCTGTGGAGCCCTGACAGTCTGCTGGTACAAGGGACAACCCTCTTCCGCGGTTGCCAGGCAAGGATTGTTGCAGGGCTATGCAACACGACTCAGATTCAGGTTCTATTCTTAGAAATCTAGAAAACTAAATTGTATTTCTGACTTTGCCACAGATCCTCTGTATAATTTTTGGCAAGTCACTTAATTTCTGTGTCTCGATTTCCCATATGTATAAAGGGAATACTTGCATGCCTCAAAGTGGTGTTGTGAGGCTTCATATTAAGGTTTGTAAACTGTTTTGAGATCTTTGGATTGCAAAATATTGCCAGTTTGTTATTATTTCCAGGTGGCAGTGTGAAAGGTGATTTCTGAACTGCTTAGCCCCTCTCACTGACTGCCTCCATACCAAAATGTAGTTGTAGGCTAGAAAGAGTTTGTATCTTTGAGTCAGGGACAAATTTTTCCCTGGACGGATAATAGTCAGTCAGCAGGGCAAAAACTTGACTCTGTAGTACTACTGTAGGGGACACAAGTTCCTTTAAACTCACTTTTATTAGCTTGATTTTCAGATATGGCAACTCGGTAGGGTATAGTCCAAGACTCCTTCCAAGAAAACATGATAGTCTCAGGAAACAAATGTCTGAACTGCCCACACTATCAAGAGTTCTGGGGGGAGCTTCATAAAGCTCCAGGGACGACGTTAGCTAGATACTGTACATAGCTATGATAGTCAAGAAGCTTACTACATTCTCTTAATGTCTATAAATGCTTTTCTGTTTGAGACCAGACAAATTTTATTATGTTGGATGGTTAAACTAATATGGTACAATATGTGCTGATGTGTAGTGAAATACGTTAATATGGGTGAACAAATATCCACAGAGTTAGAACATCACAACTATCAAAGCCAAATCATTTTTAAAATACTGGGATTAGATCAGAAATGCTTTAAGCAGGGGTAATGATATGACTGTAATGGAAATATATCAATTTGTAAAAAAAGAATGACAGTAAATATATTGGTTCAAGTATGTGAAAGAGCATTTAAAATTTTTAATTTATTTATTTTAAAAAGACTGTCAGTTCTGATTACTGCACACTTGGCTGAACTGAAAAATGCATCAGCATGTAACAAATGAACTGGGTTAGAATAACATTGAATTGGTTTGGTGAGCATATACTCAGTATAGTAAATTAGATTTGAGATGGCTATATACTCCAAGAAATAAAGCCTAATATAAAAAGAGACAGCTGGACATTAGTTAGTCAGATGTGGCTTTTATACAAAAATCCCCTTTGATGGTAGTTATGCTCAATTTCATATGCAATTCTATACTATCCTAATGTTAGATCTAACTATTTCATCATTTAGATGAGACTTTCATTTTTAAATTATTTATAGTAGTCATTTACTGAAATTGCTGTTTTCAGAAGGGACCTTGGGTTTACTTCATTCCTTTAATGTTTGCGGTCACATATTTATTGTGTATGTTATATGTTAGTTTGTAGAGGCTATGACTGAGATCAGAACCCCATTATGCAGAATCCATAACCTGCAGAGATCCTTTATGCCACCTCTCTATTCAATATATTACCTGCACTCATAAATGTGTCTTTATTTACTACTTAGCCTCTATGCATGAAGACTATAGTTTTTCCAGTGACTCCTTTAAATAATTATGAGTCCCACTCCACAGTTTTATTTACACAGGATGTTGGGTGCAAATGATTCTTCTACCTGCATTGTTTGTTTATCAGTTTGATTAACTGTCATGTTCCATGTCTGATCAATTTTCGGAGTTTGGGCTTACATACAGGTGCAAAGGGGACAGTGGGAGCAGGGGGAAGCAATCCAGCTAAAGAACAGGAGACCACTCTATCCTCTTCTTACCTCTTGGCCTAGGGGAGCAGTGCTCTCCCATGCCTCTTCATTGGCTGATGAATTGAGGACTCACCAGGCAGAGGAATCTGAAGTGAAAAGAGGAGGAGGAGTTTGAGGAGTTTCTAGGCCTCACGCTCTTCCTGCAAGTAGGATGAGCAGCAGCAGCTATAGCATTGATACTAAGGGGTGGTCTCTAAAGGTACTCCTCTCCAGGAGGAGCGGGGAAGAAGAGCTGCCACAACTCCAGGCCCTCCTTCTCCTCAAAGGGGCAAAACATTTAGCCTTTGATTTAGATGTCACAGGACAAGCCTGTGTAGAAAGTGCAAGTTAGGCTGAGTTGCCCACATATTTCATACATAGCTAGAGCTGGAAACCAAGTAATCTTACTTATATGGAAGGAGATAAGGGAGGTGACCAATGCAAAGCAGTTGAGACTTTGAGTCAACTGCAGACAGATGCTAAAGCAATATTAGAATTTAGATTTTCCAGGGGGACTCCATAAAAGAGTCTAAGGGCAGATCTTCACTACCCACCGGATCGGCAGATAGAGATCAATCTTTCAGGGATCGATTTATCGCGTCTCGTCTAGACGTGGATAAATCGATCCCCGAACATGCTCCCCGTCGACTCCGGAACTCCAGCTCACGAGAGGCGGAAGCGGAGTCGACGGGGAGCATGTTCGGGGATCGATTTATCCACGTCTAGACGAGACGCGATAAATCGATCCCCG